CCACAGAGGAACCCTCTGTCTCAGACTCGCACTCATCCGTTCAGCCTCTCTTCCACTGGATGTTCCCAGCAGTCAGTGGAAGACAGTGGAGGATTGTTCTTGCTGTCGCCATTTAAAAAAGAAAATTCTCTATTCCTCCTGGGTTCCATTCTTGAAGCTGTGCTGCCCACCGACCACCAGCTGACAAGCTTTCTCCTCTTTTTTCATTCTTGCTTTTTCATCCCGGCTTTGATCACATAATGATTTTTCCGCTGCTTTTATTTTTTCTTTTGTTTTTGGTGTTTTGCTTGTTTGTTTTTTTATTAAGTTGCATTCCCGTGGCTTTTTGGATCCACCTTTGTTGTTGTCTTGTCCAACCAAGTTAAAGCACTGTTGTATCTATTGCCACTTTCCAACTTGGAAGTACTGAGTGTAATCACCACTTAATTTTAACATTATGTCCACTAGGTAGCATTTAATCTCCACATGCTCAGCTACTCTTCCCTAAACTTCTGGCATATTGTGTTGCTACAGAACAATGAGTTGTAATTGGAATTGCAGCAGTGGTAACACTTGAGTGGCCAAAATAAATCTCAACAGGTTTTGAGAAAGAATTAGAAATTTGACAGTAACCAGAAACGACCTCTCCTCACCCAAGTCTACATTATTTAGACCTTTAGACCATCAAAAGAGCCTTTTTTGACCAAGTGGGGCAACAAAACATGTTTAAGTCTTATTATCACAACCACTGTTTATTTCTCTTTAGCATTCTGAAGTTTTTGTGCAGACTCTTAAAGAAAGTCGTCTTATACTCTTCATTGTTAATTTCTTAACGTTACCAACACAGAATGCACATACAGACATCAACGTCTGTAAAAGTTAATGCCACAAAAGGATTTTATATGACAAACTTTGTCTTTCTTGTCTTTCACACAGTTTCACATTTTTTAAAAAGCCCTTCCTCTCCTATCCTTTGCCCCCTCACCGACCCACCACACACGCTCTCTCGGTTCCTTAGCTGAGGGAGCCAGGCGGTGGTTAGATGCATTTTATAGTAGCATAGTGTTAATCCTTGCCTCTGGATAGGCAAAGTCAATTTCCCATTTCCTGTCCCCAAAATGGCTAACAACAATAATGCAATGGGATGTTTTTATGGGGGGGGGGCTGTGTGGGCTATATGTCTATATAAAATGGTACAACACACACAGGCACTCTTGAACTGGTAGTTGTCCATATCTGTAAAGGCCAGATTGTGTATCGGAACCAGTCCATAGCCAGAAGGCCGTTAGTGACATTACTGTTTATTTTGCATTTATAAAAAGTGGTAGAAGCATGCTTCTTTAACATAATAAAAAGTAAGGATGGAAAGTATAAAGAAGAAAAAGCAGTTTCTCTCTGTGTGATACTGTTATGAGAATGTGACAAAACAGAAAACACCTATTTGGGATCATACCGTGCTACATCCCAACGTTTGACACAAACAATATAGAGGATGGACATAGTAGTATCACCCACATTTAACATTCTGTTGGGAAGTCTCAATCTTGGTTGTCGCTATTATTGTTCTTTTGAATCTACAAGTCCACAGAAAGAGTTGAGTCTCTCATTAACACGCTCATCAGTAAAGACGTCAGAGTTTCTTTAAGGCTCAGTCCAGCCATTCTACAGATGACCTTGGTTTCAGCTATACTCTTTCCCAGATATCATAGGTGAAGGTTGAAATGTAGATGGATTGGGCTGTTGGCTCAGCTTTCTCTTCTTCACAACATTTGGGTACAGTTCCCTGATAACTGCTGACGCTGCACCAATCCATTGGTCCACCTGTCATTCCACTTTCTTATCAATCCTGAATAAGACCCAGAGATACTCAAACTTGCTTAGGCTCCCCTTTATCCTCCAACCAAGAGGGACCATTTTGAAATCTGAAAGTCTTCTGTGTCCCACAAACAACTTAATAACTGTTATGATCATGGCACAGACCAGATATAAAGCATTTTCTTTTTTGTGTTTTACTGATTCTCCCTCCCTTGTTTTCACGTAGCAACCTACGTGTGTGCTATTAGACAAATAATAAACAGCTCTTTGTTGGTTATAAGGCCATAAGCAAACTAAATTGAGTCTGGATTCAGGTACTTATTTTATAATTTAGTTATGAGGGAAACATTTGCAGTTGCAGATGTCATTTCTGATGTCTATATCCAGAGCTAATTTACAACATCAACCCCCTTGAAAGGGTTTTTCCTGCTCACAGTTAGATGACTTTTGTGGGTGGCTCCACCTGAGGGTAAAGGTAATGATTTTGGATTTGACCAAAACTACTTTTTCTTT